CAGAAAACTGATTTGTGACCCACTTTTTATGTGCAGAGCTCAAAGCCCACAGCCCAGTGAGCTTACTGTTTTGGGCCTTTTACCTTTTGCTGCCAGATAGTCCAGGCACACAACTGCAGGTGAGCTGCAACATCCACACTTGACATATGCCACTTGCCCTAATGCATATCCTATGCACTGCAGGTTATTTAACCCATTAAAGACTGTCTCACTCGTCTGCTCTGCACTGCTGGAAACACTTGTTATTACCACTGTGGATAATAGGCTAGATACAGTATTTCATGTGCATGCTTGCCTCCAGTCCTCAGAATGTCTTTGTGAGGGATTTTCTGTTAAAATGCAGAAACCTACATCTTCATTCAGCCAACATTGGTGTCCAAATGCCATACTACACACTAAATCTAAGCAGGGTTTGATTTGTTTTCTCATTGGGAAAGTGACAAAAGCATGCATTAAACAAAGAAAATTGAGGAGCTGCTCACAGCTGGAAAAGATTAGAGCAAATTGAAGATGGTGCACCAGGAATAACTTAGAAACAACAAATAGCAATTAAACCTTAGAATAGACATTTTGATGTCTATTTGTGAAGTTAGCAGGGATGCTCCAGTGTTGTATCTGACTGAGATGCATTGGTGCACATATCATTTCCTTTTAGAAGAAAACAGTTAGGTATGTTGTTTTTTTCATTTATAAACTGTAAAAACAATAGCCTTCACTAAGTCAGTTAGTAAACAGTACATAGCCCATTCTCACAATCATATCCCACTGAAAATCCAAATGCAGCCTTTGCCAGACATAAGTAGACACATTCACATTTCCTCCTCCCACACACATTAGAAGACTATTTCCCCTTAAAGCAATGGGTTTATGTGACTATATTTTTCCTCTTCATTTCATGATTACTTCTGAGATACAGTTCTACATTGCATGCTACTGCTGCACTCCTTCCCAAGCTCAAATGTGTAAACATCTCATTTGTTTGTTGGGGAATGGCAACATGGTGACCGATCACCCGTGTGTCTTTAGTTTATTGTTTGTCATTATTATGTATCGTTATCTATGCTCTGCTGAGCTTGGTGTATGATGATCTCAGAATCTAGACAATTATTATCTTTATACATACTCCTTATTCTCATTAGGGCTGTAACTAATGCCCCCCCCCCCCCCCCCCCCAGTATTGATTAAACATTTAGTTTTAATACTAGAGGATAGTGAAAAATGACTATTCCAATTTCCCAGAGCCAAAGGTGACGTCTTCTTTTTGTCCAACCAACAGTCCAAACCCCAAAAGATTTTCAATTTATAGTATAGTGACAAAGGCAGAACATCCTCACAATTGACAATTGTGGTCAATTAACATTTCCATTCTACATAAATTAACTGACTGAACTCCTGTTCTCTGGAATCCACACCACTGTGTTTAGCCACATGAGATGCTGCAGTAGACAGTTTTTTTCTCTAAATTAGTGAGGTTCTCCACACTTATCATTTATAGGAAACAATATTTTAATTAGGTCCAAGTGTATCTATAATTTAATCACTTGCTTCAACATTTAGCTTAATAAGCCTTCTGGAAATCAACCAATTTCTGTTCACTGTACTGATCATTTTCGGACAAAGACCAGCACAATAGGTGTGATTTGGGGATCAGATACCGTCACCATCTGACTGACCTAATATACTGTAGTAGGTCAGCAGTTCCATGGAGACTCGCAGGTAACCCAGGTTCGACCCTGGCCTGTCAGACTTGCTATGGTGGCTTATAAAGGCTGCCTGTCTCAGGGTAGCAACAGCACAAAAGCTAAATAAATCACAACCAGTAAATGGCCTCTACTCCTCAGCTATTTCCTCGGCTATCATCAGTCTGTGGGCCAGGACCGATATCACGCTGTCAGTGGAGTAAGCCAATATTGGCTTTCTCTGGAGATTGGCAATGGGTTAGCTTCACCTCCTGTTGTTCTACAGCAAAGGAAAAGGGGTGGTCTGAGGGCTAACCAGGGGCTTTTGAGGTGCAACTGGGGTTGCCTTGCTATGACCTGGGGGCTAGGGGAGACAGGAAGCACCCTGACCTTGTGTTTGTGTAACTCCATCCCTGTGATAGATGCCTTTGTCAGTGCATTCACCCGCTGCGCTGTGGGGCTGTCCACTTGCCCTGACGCAGATGGATTGGCCTTTGTTTTTCCCTCACCTCCACTGTGTAATTAATCTTCGGTGCCAGCCCATGGAAGAGAGTGCTCTGTACTGTAGGCGGCTGGCCGATACACTCACCAGCGGGTAGAGGCAGCTTTCAAGGCCCTGAGGACGAACACCACCAAGGAGATGGTAAAAGAAGATGTTTAAATGCATGCAGCTCCAGGCCTCCTCGCTCACCTTGGTTATCGAAAAGAAGAGGCGGCGAGCACAATATTTGTCCCTGCTCTAGAGGACAATTTATCTTGGATGAAAATAGCATCTCTGGGAAGATTCAGCAGTAATAGGCCCTCTCCAGCATCACTGCCATCACATATTTTACACTGCCGCCTGGTTTCTCACTACTTATTGCCTGACCCGTGCCGCATGTTTTCTGCTCCATTTCACAAGATAATAAGGCTGTGGGCTAAAATTAAAATATCTGTGCTGCTATTTATTTATATTCTGTTGGAATTCATCAGGATGAAGACTGCAAATTGGCCACATTACCGTGACAAGGATTGGTTCTACAAAGGCTACACAAACAGGCCTACATCTGATTTTAAGCTCAACCATAAAGAAAACATAATAATCTACAATCCAAATAATACAGTTTGTCCATATGTTTAAAATTTTAATATTTTAGAAGGCACACTTTCATTTCCTTCTTGTCAGTTGTGCTCCATGTCAACAGCAGTTAAAGTCATCTTGAATGCCTCTCTAAAATGTAGTCTCTATTGAAACACATTTAAGTTAACCTTGCATGAATGAGTAATTTGTTCCTTTACAAGCCTGTATCTTTGTTCATGTCACAGAACACTACAGGACTGTAGGTTAATAGAAAACGTGGGTTTTACACTGAGAGACCTAATGACACTAGGGGGGTCAGGCTGCCACATTTATACTGTCACTGTCCAGCTAGCTGTATTATAAAACTGCATGTACATATTTACTATTAAATGTTATAAGAGGAACTATATGGCATCCTTTGAGCATTGTGATCCAGAGGCTTGTAGGCAGTGTTTGTGATTAGAGTATAAAAATTTCCTTTCCATCCTTCGGGTGCAGTAGTGGGCTGCTAATCAGAGACTGTGTTTAATCCCTTGGTTGTGGAGCTTTTCACCAGCTGAGAGCAGTGAGGTTATGGACAAACTGAAGCAGCCCCCTCGAGATAGAGGTGTGAAGAAAATCCAGGCAAATCACTGAGCCTCGAAATGAGCCAAACAGAGACTGAATAAAAGAGGTATATAGGCTACTGTATTTCTTTAAGAAAGCAAAGTCTTCATAAAGCTGCGCTTTAATACTGAGCAGGGGGACGGGTCAATTTAATGAGGTGATGTGAAGCCTGGAAATGAATAGTGTTGTGATATCCTGCAGCACAGCAAATAGAAGCACTGGGAGCCATTGAGCTCCAGAGCCTGAGGCGCGGGACTGCAGAGCAAACAGGCAGAGTATTAGTTCACTAAATGATGCAGAATGGATGCTGGATAATCGCCACACTGCTCATAAATTCTACTTTAAAGGCACCTTGTAGGATAGACTGGCTGACATTTTCTTTAGTTAGACTTTATGATTATCACGTCCAGATGATTGTCTCATCATGTGATCCAAACCTATGACAGACATCATATTATCATAATCTGATTTAAATTTAATTTGATGAATAGACACGGCTTAAAAAAACAAAACACGGTTAACTTCTGCAAACAGAGCAGACATGCTGCTTATGCACACTGCTCATCCTGATTATCTGTGTTCATGTTGAACATTTCTCTGGTGAAGCCCCTGGGGTTATGGCGGAACAGTGCACGGTTTAGTCGAGCCCTCCTCCCTCCCTGAAAGCCCTCCACTCCGGTGGCTGGCTGCAGATTTAATGGGCTTAGCAGCTGTTGAGGAAAAGCAGTGAGGGCTTGTGGCATATGCTCTGGTTAGAACAAAGAGCAGCGAGCACACCGCATGAGCTGCAACGAACGCAGTGCTGACACAGTGGCTGCAGTCAACCAGTACACTGTTTTACAGCTTGTGTTCACTCCGTTTATTTGATTGACTTTTTTGTGTAGCCTACAATTATTAGTGTTTTTATAATTTCCCCCCAGTTTACAAAAGAATTCAAAGAATACATTTCTTTTAGGCCTTTAGGTAGACCTATATGTTTGCAAGGCAGCGTTTATAGTGCGAAGCTGTGCAGTAGGTGTGTAAACTGTTAATTCATGAAATGAGAGCAGAGGATGGTGTATTTCAAAGGTTCTTTAAAGGCACTTGACAAGGGCGCCCTCTTCTGGGAGAGCTGTAACCCCTGCAACACCTCTGCTTTCAATGTGCTTCATGATGCTATGTGGATAGAAGGTGGTGCAGAGAGTCCTCTAGTGGAAATAGAGTAAATAGACATTAAAGGTTATGTTTTCAACACAACATGCAAACAGAATCCGTTTTGCTCTGGCTGACAATTGCATTGACTAAATAACAATATAAAGTTTGACTCTGATTTTTCTGTTATCAAAAGGAAGAGAAAAACAATTTTTCAGGCGAAATTTACTAATGTGAATTTCCTGTCTAGAGCATTCTTATTTGATTTGGCAAAGTACTGGACTGCAGCCAGCAAATATGATATGATTATTGGCTGAAAAAGAATTAACTGGCAAACATATGCAATCCTCAACACTCCATTGGTTTTGTTGACCAGATTCAAGCAGTAAAAGGTTCCCTCCCATTAATCTGCTTTAGATATTGCAGTATTTCCTGTACACAGAACAGCCTGACTGCACAGACACTTTCTCTACACTCACATTTATAAATCTGGCCCACGCAGTCTGGTTACTCCTAAAATTACCAGCTGTTATGGACACACACAGGCTGATGTAAGTTTTATTGCAGTTTGCACAGTTGCTGTGTGCATATATGAGCTTCAACAGGCAGCATGTGTAAACAGTGATAATGCTGTGTTTGTGCAGTGTGTGTGTGTGTGTGTGTGTGTGTGTTTTGCTCGGTTTCCTCACTGTTAGCAAACACGCCGCGTTGCCATGTTCTCCCACTCACTGCTGACAGAAACAGCTCAACCACTGTGTGGGAGTCAAGTGTGGCAGGTTTTCTCACTGTCTGTGCTCGTAACGGTACAGTATGAGCTCTCTAAATCTAGAAGCTGCTCTTTGTGTGTTTGTGCGTGTCTGTAGGTGCGTATGAATAAAAGTAGGTCGTAAAAGCAGTCTGTTGTATAGCCTGCTAGCCCTCATTAACGGAAAAAAAAAAACGTCCTTGAAGTTGCTACGCTGCAGGGAGGCAGACGTGTTTATACAAACCAAATGGCTTTCAGTGGAACAAAATGAAATGGTAAACACCTGACATCATGTGAGAGAGATATGAGAAGGCAACCTGTGAAGGCGAAAGGAAGAGAAAATGAGACCAGGCGAGAGGCCACCGGGTGAGCGAAGGCTTATCATGTGTAATCTGCACCAGTGTTGCTTGTCATTCTCATCATGGCTGACCTTGTCTCGAGCTCTGCTATAAGCGCGACCCTCTGTCCCGACCTGGCTGAGTGGACCCGTCACACTCTGTTTGCCTGTGAGCCTCTCGCCCCGACACCAACCGACCCGCAACAGTGCCTCACTAAAAAAACACAGTGCAACAACGTGACGTGCAGCTGAAGAGAGACAGGTTAAGTGCTATGGTTAAGTGTGGGAAATTATCTCAAAAGAAGATCATAGTTATTGTTCATTTATTGTACTGCGTACGGTGCAAAAACTGTTGCATGACACAAAATCTAAACTGCAAAGATGGGCCACTCATTACAAAGGCTAGACACAGTGTGTGGGTATGACTGAAAAAGATGTTAAAAACAGTAATTAATGCCCTTGTTTTATTTTGTTACCCAAAAAGCCAGTAGTTTTTGTATCCTCCTGAGACCCTTATGAGAAAAAAAAGGTTTTTATCTTTTGGAATCTTTTAAACATGTCACAAAGATTTTTTTCTCAAAGATATATTGCATTTATGTTTTGTCACATGTCGTTGGTAGGGGACATCAGGTCTCATTTGACGCAAAATGTATGGCTTATAATGTCACTTTATAAGCCACAAACTTGGTATTGATAAGAACTCATTTTGCTATCCATTTCTATTACAAATTTTTCATTTATAACAATAAAAAAACAATATAAAACACATTAGACCATGGAAAATATTACTACCTTTAAAAACATTTTTGCTCAATGGGTGAAGATCTGAAAGGGCCGTACACACAGGAACACATCATGCATGCATTAGAAAGCAATTCTTGGTCTTTGAGACACAAAGAAACATGTTGCACTTCACACACTTCATAAAGGTGTTCCCGCTGCATGCTCCTCTCCTGCACCTTTAATATGATGATTAATACCAAAGAATATGGAAAATGGTCATGGACATAAAAGTGTATTTTAAAAGGCTTAAAATTAGCATACACCTCTGAAATCATAGCAGTAATATAGTTCAGGCTTTAATACATAAAAAAAAAACAATTCAAACATGATATTTGTATAAATTTGATCAGTTACTTCTCATAGGGCCATAGAAGCCGCCTACTGTGATTCCAATTTGAAAAGACAGAACAGTTGCTCTGTTGGCCACACAGAAAGCCCAGGATGTACTCTTTACAGTACACTAGGACTCAAACAGGCTAAATGCATGGTGTTTGAAATAGAGCCCTCAGTGCACATGTCCCCCACAGAGGACAAAAATGAATTGCCAGGTCTCAGGAGGAACTAGCCTACACCTCAGAAAAACATGATGGAAATGCCTATTATAATTTAGCCACTAGCCTAAAGGATAAACCTGACAATATTTTATATTTTTGTTATTAAAAACAAATCCAGTGAAAATAACAAAACCAACAATGCTTCCACAATCAACGAGTAAGTATTTAACACAATAATTTGCATCTTCTATAGTCAAGAATATTCAGAATGGGACCGGAAGATGTTTGCCTTCACGTTAAAAAATATATAAATTGCGTTTTGATAGTGATTCGCATTATAAAAACCTCCCACCAACAACTAACACATAATACATTACATTGAAAACTAACCGGATGTGTATAAAAATGGTGGTGACAGGAAATAGTATCCCAGCATGCTGTCTCCGTGATAGGATTGACAGGTCTAGAGAGCAAAAACAGTTCCCATTTCAAATGGGTGCATAAATCATTGAACTGCCATTTTTATCAACTATTGGTAAGTAACCACCGTGAGCAAGTCCATTTACCAGGAAATTATCAGTTTGGGGTCGAAATCCCCCAAAACTACCTTCATTGTTAGCTAACCTGCTTTCATTTTTCATCAAAGTTGAAAATCTAAACACAACAGCTGTGATGATGGTGAATGTCAAATAAAATCACAACGTGGCCACGGGCTTTTAAACCTGCAGTGAAACATTTAAGTAAACGTAGTTAACTACACTGTTGACATTAGACCTTATCAGGTGTTAACTACTTTGGCTAGCTTGCTGTAAGTGGCGCACACGTACAAAACACATTTATTCAGTCATTAATATTAACTTTTGATTTTCAGTAAATATGGCCTGTGAAAGTGTCCAGTGATTTCATAAATAGGTAGGCCGATGTACTGAACAGCATGTATTATATTTTTGAAAATAAGTATATGTTAAATATAATATTACAATTACTATTTACATATATAGATTTATTCAAATGTAAATATCAAAAATAACCATGCACACTGAAATGATTTGACTGTGACTTCATTAGGAGCTTTATGTTTTGTCTGTAGCTCAGCACCCAGGTGTAATTAATACATATGGGTCACATGAATTATCACAGTCTTGACAATATTGTTTCAGCATTTTTAAAGGTGAACATTTATCAAAAACATGACAATAATATTACACAACATTACATTTATCAAAAACAACATGTCATGGTTAATATTACAGAGTTACAAGAGTTTTACATTTACATAATTTTAACTTAAAAACAAACTCCCATATACAACTGACTAAACAGTATATGCTAAATATCTTTAGACAGATATACTGTCATTAATACACAGCTGCCCCTCTACACCACTAAATGGGAAGGGTGAGTGCCGGGCAACCTGGTGTCTCATCTCTCCCTAAGGGCCCCAGTCTGGGGAAAAGATGCACTCCCACTGGAACTGCTATGTAAGTTTATCCTAAAATCTAATTACTTAATGTTCGACAACAAGTAGGCTATTACTCACCATCTTAAAGTACAGGCATGGGTTCGCCATTCGCTCCAAACTATGCCAGTTTGTTCATGGATTTCAACAACCCCTTCACAAATAACATCTTGTTTTTCAAAAGGCACATTAATGACCTTTTTATGGATGTTTTACAGGTTCTGTAGATGAACTTAGGGCATTTAGTGGTTATATACTCATGCCCCTTTTTTGTATATTGTAATTACTGTTATACTGAAAACAAAAAAACAAACTTTTTTATCTGAATATTTTAATCTAAGTAAAACAGATTAGAAACAAACACTGGAAAACCCTAGAATGTAACCCAAGTTTGTAATGTAATAATACACAGGAAATTAGTTATTTTCTGTGTCATGACCAAACATATATCAACACGCACATGATCAATGGGGATTTATCCAAGTTTAGAAAATATAGCAGAAAGGGCTCCTGTCTCCCAGCTGTCTGAGTTTGAGGTATGCCAGCTGCTCCACCCAGTGCTTATGAGATGATGATGCGTTTTTTTTTTCCATTTAAGGGGGAATCAGTGTTTGAGTAAGCAGTGTAGAGAAGGCAGCAACAATTGTGACACATACATTTAAAAACCCCAGACCAAAAACCCCTCAGCCACAGAGAGGCCCTCAACATGTGGCAGTGGGTGTCCAAGTCATCCCTGCATCTTAAAATATTCTCATCCAGTCATGTGAAGAGTTTTGCCAATTTGCTTCTCAGATGAAGCCTGTGAAGAACTCCAGACTATAGCAGCCCATGCCTGATGCGTATTGATGAGAAATCAACCAATTGCCAACTACCAAGACATTTCTGATATTTGTGAGCTCCGTCTCCCATAGCAGCTTAATCCAATCTAAAGAAGGAGATGCAGCTGCAGGGATTGTCTCTTATAAAAAAGATACTACACACTTTTGCAGTGGGCCAATTTCCAAACATTGTTCTGTCCAACTGTTTTGTGGGGCCTCAAGAGAGAGGAATGTTATTTTTTTTTTTTTGTTTGCTTGTTTTTTACAATACTAAACTGTAAGTCGGGGCAATGCCAAATTCTGTCTGCAATTGTTTTGAGTGAAGAGGTTCTTTACACAGGTCACACATTTTCTAACCTACAGTTGTAATGCCAAGTCAATGAGGGAGGCAGGGAACGGAGTTACCCAAAATAGCAGCATTGAGAAAGAGCAGTTTAAAGTTAAAATGAAACCTAAACTGGCCCCAAATCTTAAGAGCCCCACAGACAACAGGATTGTTCGTAAAAGAAAATTGTTTCAGATGTAGCTAGTGTTCATTTGACTCCTTGAAAAATGACTTCATTGTTGGAAATAAAAATCTTGCCATAATCAAAATTGGCATCCAGAGCTGTGTTCAAAATCATCACATCTTTTGGTCAACACATATTAACCCATATTTATCAAATGTATGTTTTCACAGCTCTTTGGTAACAGGTATCGGTATTTGCGAAAATGTCTTGTCTTTATAATTCAGTATCAATAACAAAACAAAAACCTTTGTCCATCTCACTGTGTATGAATCAAAGGAATATGTCTGTACCTTGTATTGTTCAGCCAATCATCATCCTCATAAAATATTCAACATCAGTCCAATGTTTTGGATTCAGAGAAAAAAAATGAATAGTTTTCTCTTCTAATTTAAGTTAAATTAATATTTATTATCCAGCCGGAGTTTTTTTAATGGATATATTCAGTGTAGAATCCTAAACTAAGCTTCTTTAACTTTTATTACTCACAAAATATCACCATTTAACCAGTGTGTAAGTTAATTTTCTATATAGGCCATCCATGATTTATATTATAGTCTTTTATTCTATTAGTGTATATTTCTATATTTCAGTCTACTGTAAATGGTTGTGCTTTTATCTGTAATGATAACAACATTCTCTCAATATATATCAATGACAATTGTAAATAGTATAAGTAAAAGCTCCCCCAGGCAGATCATAAAGAAGTTATGGCGTGTTCTTGAATTGACAGCTGGGAGATGAGATGTCTGTTTCTCTCCACAAGATGGAGCTGTAACCAAATATATTTGCTGTTGGTGTGTTGAAGCTTGTTACACTTTAATGCAGATGTGAACCAGGAAACACTCAAGCCAGTATTATAGTGTACAGTAGGTGGTGCTAGAGATTTATCATCTTGGAAAACACTTAATAAACAGCATAAGGGGAGGTTTCAGCTATGAATAAGCAAACCCCTTAAATATGTTAAATGTTCCTGTAAATTAATTGTAATTTGTTAATGTTGAATTGTTTTCATCAGCTTGTCCATAATCAGTGTGCTTCATGATTTATTGTAGTGGCCTTTTAATAAGTTGGAGGGTTATTACTGGACAAATTTAAAGCTTGTGCACAGTGAGTGTTTTAACTATACTGAACGCTGACTGGCAGTTAGTTTCAGCTTTCCCGCCCACATTATGAGGCCTAAACATGATTTGAATTGATGGGATTCTATTCAAGCTTAGAGCAATTCACTTTAAATTCAATGTTATTGAATTATGAAAGGGAAGAAATTATTTTACTTTCAAAACTGTAACAGGCTTCCATCGGCTTTCAGAGGTGAATTTCAATATGACCATCTCACAGTCATATGCCGAGTCAGAAAATATCACCACTATGCCCAAGAGACGATTATAGTAATTTCCAAAAAGATTGGACTGTAGGAGGAGAGTGGGTGGGTTGTGTGTGTGTGTTTGCAAGTTTATGTGTGTATTGGGGGTTGGGGTGGGTCATCATCGACATTCATTATAATGAAGCCTTCGCTCTTTCACCTCTCCTACAGTTGCTATAACCATCACACCCAATCTGAACTGGTTCCACTGGGAGGAAAGACCAAGCAGCGCTACATCACACATGACCTGAAACCTCAACCAGAATATGCCAGAATCTAGATGGCGGTCATAAGGTACAGTATGCTAGATTTTGAAGTGTATGTGTGTTACCACTAACAATTTATTTCCACATTAAATATGCGATATCAGCCTCATTATCAAAATGAACAAGACTGTTACTGAGAGACGTCCTGCATCTTTGGCCTCACACTTTATTTTACAGTGTGACACTGAGGGTTTTACAAGAAAGCTAATCTGAACTCTAAAGCTCAGTTTTGACATTAAGAATTTTCTCTTTGCTAGCTACCATGCTGTTTTGGTGACACTAACTTAACTCCGGGAAGTAAGTCATTTTTAAAAAATGTGTCAATCCTAAATTGGTTTGTCAGACATTAATGAAGAGTAGTATAAAAATCAACCAAAAACACATCCAAGCAGGTTCATTTACATTGCACTAATATCTGATAAATCCAACATTTAATTGTTTGATTAAAAAGGCTTTGTTTTATTTTCTCTCTAAAAAATCCGCAATCACGCTAATCTAACCTACTGAGTACAAAAGCCATGCTGGCGCCTCTAAAGGCAGTGAGGAGAGTCACCCCCAAAATGACCAGAGGGGTTTGAAATAAGCTAAATAATCTATTTTAGGTAGAGCTGTCTGCTCAAGGCCACAGACGTCTGAGTGACTGCAGTTAGTTTTGTGTAGGTAAATCTTTGGAAAGCTTGAGATAGTCATTTGACGTCTTTGAGTTAGAAAATTCCTTGGAATTGTGGCTTTTGCTTTAGTCTACAGGTTGTGTAGTAGTGACTAGTTTCACCTCTTGTAAGTGTAATTTTATGGTATGAAAGCAGCCCACTGTGTCTCTGCTCTGTCCACCCATCAGTGTCTGCAGAGCTGTGCCATCTCATTAACAGAGCAAAAGAGTTAAAGAAGTAGTAAGATCTACACAAACACGTAAAAAGTAATATAGAAATATACTCGGGCGATTAGCTCCAAGTACAGTGCTGTCCTGTCTTGATAATGAATGCTAAAATGCAGGCAGTGTGTTTGCAGTACATTGTGTATTTTGTTCTTGAATTGACCCTGTGGTACCTTTTTAAGCTACGGCTACAAGAGAAAGGTTGCCTTCAGCCAAACAATATCTCCAACAACCCCAGTAGAATGTAGACCCTGCAATAATATTGATCTTTTGTATGATATCTGTGTTATTGTTATAGACAGCTATTTTCCTTCACCTCAGGTTACCTGATAACTGTTACTGTTTTGTAGTATTTTCCCAATTAGCTGCGTAGGGCTGTGAATGGGGGGAAGGGGTTTGTGAGTGTTGTTGCTAACAAGCGTATTTGTTTTTGTTTATATTTTGCGTGTGTGCTCTCGCGCACATTGTGGGCGTTTTTCTGTCAGTGTATGCATGAAACCATACATTGTAGTATGTGCTTGGGTGTGAACAAGTGTGTGCTTGTGTGTTGCGGGTGATGTTAGCTTCCTAAGGCTGATTACCACCCTCATCCCGGCGTCTTGTTTTTGCCTGTCTCTCCGCCTGTGTGGAAGTTGTGTGGGCACCCTCTGGATTGCCTCACCGCCGAAGCATGCCGGACCCTGTTATCCAGCTATCCATCTGTGTTATTGATTTTTTTCCCTCTTTGTAGAGTTTCATCTTTCCTCCACTTTTCTGTAGAGCGATGGAGAGAGGGAGGGAGTGCGAGAGAGAAAGGAGGGGCGAGCAAGGGGGCAGAGCAGAGATCTGAGAGCTGGTGGAAGAGGGGGGGGTGGAGGGATGGAGCGTTGGAGGAGCGGAGCAGCGGTGGGGCTTCTGAGGGTAGGGGTGTAAGAGGTTGGGGGGGCACTCAGCCTGGACTATGGATGAGCAGAGAGAAAGAGAGAGAGAGGCACTCTTGATGTGTTGGAGCTTTTTTCTCTCTCTCTTCGTTTCTCTCCATTCTCATGGGAGCTCCCTCCTCCTCCTCTTCCCTCTCCTTCCTCCTCCATCCTGCTCCAAGGCGCCTCTGGTACACACGCTCCACTCACCGCCCCCCACCTCTTCCTCCTCCTCCTCTGCCTCTCGCTCCGTCCGCCTGCCTGCCGTCTCCCCTTCCCGGGGGGCTCGGGCAGTGCTGGCGGCGCAGCCGTGATTTGCAGGAGATTTGTCTAAGTGAGAAGCAATTAGTGCGCCTAAGCACCGCTAATGTATGCATGCTGGGGCCGCTGCCGCCCCTCCCGCTTGGCAGTGCCAGAGCCAGGCCAGGGCACCATTCTCTCTCCCTGTCTCCCCTTTTCTCTTTTCATCTGAAGGCCATCATCTTGCTCTCACTCCCCTTCAGATGACCCAGTCCTCTCTGAGTCTATTAGCACAATCATTAGTCGACCAATGGCGCTGAAGTTTGTGTTATTATTTACCATGTCACTTTATTGCAGATATTATTACTCTCTCCAAAAGGTGCCACGGTAGAGTGGGGTTGTGAACCTTGTACCTTCTAAACTTTATTCAGTCTCATGGAGGTGATTTCTGTCCCTCATCTTCTCCTACATATGTTTCCATTGTAGATGCGAAGGAGGCCTTGGTAAGCCTGGAAATTTAAGTCTGTGAGTGATGGTGAGTGGTAGCATAATTTGAGCGCTATAAGCCAACCACACACTAGAGCATACACTCAAATGAACACACAGGCACACCACAAACACACTATGCACAACAAAGTGGAACAGTGGTGGGTGGCAGGATTCCCTTTGAAACCTGCGGTGTAGAAAAGCTTGTTTGCGAGCGTGCATGCATGAGGGACGTTCTGCATGCTGCGACTCCCCAGCTACTTGAAGATGAACTTTGCCCTTTTCTACACATTGACTCTCTCTTGCTCAGACAAAAACAAGATTAAGTCTGCTCGTCTTTACGCCGCGACTGACTGCCTTCCAAGTGGGAGCCTACATGGACTGTGGGTGGTTTTGGAGCGAGGTGCTCGTTAATTAAAGATAGGCTAATTACTGGCGCTTCTTAGCCTGGCTTTTGCGGTGCTGATAAGAGGATAATCCTGGAGAGGAAGGCGGAGATCGAACTGGTCCCCGGTAGACCGGGCCTCCTGCTCGACTGGGCTAGAAGAAAATGCACCCCCCCCACTCCTCCTGCAGCCAGAGAGTATAGAATATTCAAGCAGGCTGCACTTCGGCAGGAGGAAACCCACATACAAGCCTCAAAGACATTAGCCACCGTGTGTTTCTCAGGCTTTTTAAAGCTACATCCACTGGTTTAGCTGGATTTGGATAAGAAAAAGCATGATTGTCGGTTGTAATGCAATAGTGACTTTTTTGATACCTGTATGGAAATTCTCTCTCTGTTTTTTGTTGTTGTCACTTTTTCTCTTTGTGGTAAAGCCTTGAGTACAACATGAGCTACAGAGCTACATCCCTGAAATGTGTTGGGATTTATTGGCTAGCTCAAACACACTAGTGTGTCTGTCTGCTAATTTGGATGCTTGTTATGCATCATCAGCACCCTACAAGTTCATCCATCGGAGTCTTCCCTCGTTCCAGTTAGCCAGTCACACATGCACACACATACTTGCAGACATGTTAATAAGCATATTTGCAACCCACCTCACACTCACATGACTGAAAGGTTGCCTGACCCGACTATCATTCACGTGTCTCTAACCCATATTTTGTCATGGGGAGTTAGCCATTAGCACTTGCTGGGCTGTTCCCATATGCTGAGCCTCCACAGATCTATAATTCAGGGGTGGCAGATGTCCCCATACAATATTCATGAGTGCCGTTCCATGCTGGGCTAGCAAGTGAGTCAGCGGCAGAGCCGTCACAAGGTCTTTGCATATAGAGGGTCCGCTTCCATGTTGACCTGCGAGTGCACCTTCCCTTCACCTCCATCCTGCAAATGGACCACAGTGAGGTTTTCAGAGATGGAAAGATGCAGGCTGCTTGTCTCAGACCGACAGCTTCATGCAATTTGGAAGGCACATGGATGCTGTGGTGATGGTCTTCTGTTTAGTATAATTGTGATGGTCTGTAGCTGTATAATGTCTTCTGTGGCTCTACACTGGTCAATCTGAGAATGCATAATGCGGGGTCCAGTTTTGGGCATTTAGTCCATACTAGAAACTAAAGTCAGGAGATCTTGGCCTTTGCTGCATTGATTTTGAGCATTCTTTTTTTTTGTTTGTCCCTTCTTTCCCGACTTTACGGAGGTATAGTACTACATCACTGGAGTTCCCCTTTTTGAAGGGTCAGTTCACCGAAAGTACACAAAAAAACAAACAGATTTTTCACTTCCTTTTCTTCTTGTGGTATCTAGCCATGCAGGTAGTTTTGGTTTTAATATTTATCTTTCACTGACATTTCTGCTGCCATTCAATACAATTGAGGTGAATGGAATGTTGTTTGTGGTAATGATAATCCACCATACATTTTTATCATCATCTTGGTTGTTCTTTCTGAAGAACGTAATACCAGAGACCACTTTTGACAGCAAGTGAGGGACCCAGACACACTCTCTGGAAATGGAGTAATATTTAATTCACCTGTATTGCACTCAAGTAGCAGCAAAATCTGAGACTGATATCTCAAAGTAAAAATACAACCCAAAAAATGTAACATTCTTTGTAATTTGGGATTAAAACTCCTCATCACTTCTTGTTACACACAGGACTTTGTAATGGAGTATAGAATAATCTAGGCGCTTTGGAGCAGAAGAAGAGGTCAGATGGTGTGTGCGCGCGCGCGCGTGTGTGAGTGTGAAGCGTGTACACTGTAAATCACACCTACATACCTTGAGGAGACAGCAGCGTTGTGTGCTGATACCCTCAAAGAGTGGGAGATAAAAAACACAACACAGGCACCCAAGATCACAAGCCGCCGCCAGCGCCAGGCCTGGCCGGCGCTGAACCGGCAACCCGATACCTCCTCCGGAGTCCTGCGGAGGGGGAGAGTGGGTGTGGGAGAGAGGCTTCCATAAAGTCTGTCCCGCCGGTTGGCCGTAACCTGAGCTCCCAGCAGACAGCCGCGGTGCCTTGCAGTCAGGCACAGAAGAGTGAGTGTGTGTGTGTGTGTGTGTGTGTGTGTGTGTGTTTT